GGGCAAAATTAAAATAACTGACCAGAATTAATATAATGCCGGGCAAAATTAATCGGAATTAATAAAAAAATTTTTTTTTCTTTAAATACACACCTTTTCTAAATGTACACTTGCTCTTAGGTCCCAAGGGGGTGCATTTAGGGAGGGTTTTCTGTATTGACAAAAGACATAATGAGATATATCTATTAGTATACAAAAGAGAAAACAAAAGAAGTATGCAAAAAAATTATCAGAAAAATGATAATATTAATTAATAAACTATAAAAAAAATATATGAAAAGATCATAGAATAGAAATAAATAAACAATATTAGTAGAGCAGATAAAAGAAAATAAAAGCTTAAAAATATATCAAATAGAAATAAAAAAGAAAAAAAGAAAAAAAAAGAAAAATAGCAAATAGGAAAAGAATTTGACATGAAAATTACTAAAAAGATAATTAAATATTATGGACAAAATAATAAAAAACAATTTTTATTATTTATATATCAGTAATATAAACAATAACAATATCTTGTCATATTAGTTTTAACTTTTATTCAAAAGAAAAAATTGATAGCAACAATTGATATCTAAAAAAATCTTAATATAGTTTAGCATACATTTATTAATTAATGTTATAGTATAGTTTATATATACAAATATATATAAGTATTGATCTTAATAAAAAAAAAGACTATTTATTAAAAAGATAAAATCTTATTTGTATTTAAATTTTGATATGTTAAAAGTAATAGATATTATATTTTAAAAACTTGAGAAAATAATATAATAAATTATTAATTTAATTATAGTTTTGATAATTCCATTAAAATTTATATAGAATATTGATTTCATACTTTTTTAATTAAATAAGTTATATTGTTTTAATTTTGTTATTATAATTGTATAAAAATATTATAATAATATAAATAGTGAAGATTTTTTGTTAAAAGTAAATTAATTTTAAACAATATATTTTTTAAATATAGTAATTAATAAGAATCAACAACTAGTTAAAAAGTTATAATAATTTGATATAGTTATTATTAACAAAAAATAAAAACTTTAAAAAAATAAAATATTGTTTCTTAATATATATATAATTGTTTAAAAAGAAATATATATAAGATTTTAAAAAATTTATTATAAAGTTTTATTTCAATAAAACAAAGATAATAAAGATATTTTATTTTTTTCAAAAATTCTTTTGTCAATTAAAATTCTATATTTTATAGTTTAATTAAAAGATTTTTTTTTTTTTAAAAAAAAAAATAAAGTCTTTTGAAACTATTCATTAATTTATAATTCTTGGCATGTTATTCAAAAAGAAAATTTTTTATAAATTAAAAAATTTCAAGAAAAGGTTTTTTTTTTTACTTCAAATAATATAATACAATACAATTTGATTTTTATTTGATAATTTAAATATCAAATTTTATTTTAAAATTTAAAAATAATATCAATATCAAATTAGAAAGTATCAAATTTATTTGATTAAATATAAACATATAATTTTTATTTATAATATTTTTGATTAATTTATTCTATTTAGATATGAAATTTCAAATTAACAAGATTTTTGTAAATATTTAATTACAGATATAATATATAAAAATTTGATAAAATAAATGTATATTATATATAATAAAATTTAATAAATTAGATAAATTAATAATTTTATTGATGAAATATATAATTTTGTCAAAGATTTTGAAAAAAAAATCATATAAATGTATTGACAAATATTATGTATCAAATTATTTATTCAACCTATAATTGAAGTTTATGTTTGTAAATTTGATATATTTATCAAATTATTTATTTTTTTGTTAAGTGACATTATATTAAATAAATCATTTTCAACTAGTAATATGTATATCCAAGCCAAAACATATTCAAATAACTTTGGCTTGTTTTATTATTGGCTCCTGATAACATGTGGCGCAGCGAATATTATATCATGAACTAAACTAAGAGAACTACAATGAGCATATAAATGTATCGTATTGGAGAGCTATAAACAGATACTGTATAAAAAAAATTAGGTAAAGCATACACAATTAATGATGTTAATTCAGTATCGAACAAAGATGTTGATAAATTCATACGAAAAAAGATAATCCAAAAAAACTAAATGATATATTACCGTATATGGTTTAATTATTAATTATTGACTTAATATCATCAGATCAAATATTTTTTTGATAAAGCAACATTAATGTAGATCTGCAGTGATTCCTTAATATTTGCAAGAATTACACCCCTGAGCCCCTTTATCGAAAAAAAAAAAGAGAGAACACAGTGTATCCCCTTGTCATTCGCATATAACCACATTATGAAGGCATAATGGAGGACTACGTTGTTTCATGACTTTCTTCAAGATACATTCATTGTAGGAGCGCCTTTTTTTGAACAGTATAATTCGCGAAATGAATTCAACCAGTAATACTAGCGGTGCAGGAATTCCTATACTGACATTTTCAGACAGGAACTATGTATTACCGCTTACTATTATAGCAAGCATTGCAATTGGTTCAATTCTATTGCATTTATTACTCATTTTTTTGCTAAGAAAAGTTTCGCAAAGAACTGGCTGGATTTTTGATGCCGAAGTGGTAAAACATTGGTACCTTACTTTCATTCATTGGATCAGTAGTTTTTTTGTCAGATTCATGTGTTTGATTAATGGTTTTTTCTGATCTCAGTTCCAAACCGACATTCTTCATGTTTCCGTTGTCCTCCGTCTTCATTACGTTATATTATGTAACGGCAGATCAAAGCATTATTGATACGATTCGACATACACTCCAAGTTCTCATCATTTTTTTCACCACGTGGACAGCGATCGGACTTATTAAAGCATGGACAGTAACCATGAAAGATTCCAAGAATAAGAAATTGCAAACGCAATTGGTAGTTAGCTCAAGAATTGCATATGGATTTACATCATTCTTTGGGACAGCTTGTATATTGTTGACATTCCCTAGTGCTCGAGAACTTGGGGCCAGTTTGTTAGCTAGTGCTAGCGTTGTCGCTGTTCTTGTTGGATTTGCGGCGAAATCATCGCTTGAGGTATTGATAGCAATTTTGCTTATCATTGTGTTGTTAGATAACGGGACGTCTCCACATTTATCAGGCGATCATGGGACGTCCTTCATCACATAGTGATAAGACTGTTTTATAATAATGATCAGTGACCGAATTTCTCTCATTGCTTTAGAATTTAATTGCTTCATTACAAATTGCCCTGACGCAGCCACTCATTCTAGGTGATTGGGTGGTCATTGATAATTGTCAAGGCATAGTTGGTAAATTAATCTAGACGTTTCGTTCTTCCTTTTCGTAATATCTTATATTTCACCAATCTCATAAGATTATTAATCAATGCGAACAAAAAATGACAGAGGAAATTCAACCCCAATTCATAGTAATCAAGACAATAGAAGAAAAGAGATTGATAGTGCCGTTGTCACGTGTAGTTAATCAATCGTTTGAAAATTGGTCGCGTAACGGCGAAAGTAAAACTCCATGTTTCTACTTATGTGTTGATTATGGCATTCCGCTCAAAGATTTGAGACAGCAGTTTATGTCAATGTTGCACAAGTGTGAATATTGGGATCAAAGGAATGCTTTGTTGAATGTAAGTAGAAGATTCGGAGCGCGATTGAAAATGGCTTTGTGAAATCAAAGGATATCTAATGACAATTATTACCACACCAGATAGACGAAGCCAAAGAAAACGTGTTGGTGTTGAAAGTTATGATGACTGGTATCAATATATCTCTTTTGTTGACAAATGAGGGATTCTCTCGTCTTTTGTGTTAACATTCTAATTAATTCAATATTAATAACAAACAGCCTCTAATGTCAAAAATAGTGAAAAATTAAAGCTTGAAATCAGAGAGAAACTGGTAATTTTTTCACGATGTTTAAACAATGCACTAAATATTTGATCTAAATGCGATAAATCCCTTATATATAGATCGAATACATAATGATCACTTACCCACAGTACTTGCCACGCGTCCGAAGTGAAGGTGTGCCGTCGAGAAAGGGAGTTGATAGCATGAAAAAGGTGATAGCGAAAATGGAAGAAGCGGTGTTGGACGATGATAAAAAAATCCAATAAACTTTAATTTTCCGACAGTTACACCGCATGTGACGATGTTGTAAAGTGGCTTAGTTTAGAGACAAAATTTCGGCGAGGAGACCTCGTGGCTATGCAAATGATGTGTTAATTTATAGAATTGTTGTTGTTAAACAGTTTTAAATTACCCGTTTGGGCAAAACTGAGTCTAAATACGACACAAATCCGTATTCATTCAAGGATTGTATGGTTTAATCACGTGAACTTTTGAAATTGGAACTGTTGGCTAAGCTTCGCAATTTCTCAGGCTCATTCAGGAAAATTGCTACCTCCGAGTAATTGCGTAAACTATGTATTGTATTACATAAAATTGTTGGCTAAGTCAAAACAGAGCAATCATAAATGAGCGAAGCTTCTTTCAATAATGAATTCGCCAATTTTTAATTTTTTGATAATGTTTATTTATATTAAACAGTTAACTTTTATCTTTCATCGATCAATTGGAGGAATGCCGAATCCTTAAGATTTTGTTTCATCTCTTTGTCCTTGCCTTAACGAACTTCATTTTTTCTTTCCTTTTTTGTCTGCAAGTTCGGTTGTGGGAGATAACATTAATAACATTAATAAATTTTAATTTAATAATTCATATAATCACTGAAACCTTTGTTCCTGATTACTATCATTGTTACGTATTTATTATTTTTTTAACACATGATTCATGCAAACAAGAAAAAAAAAGGAAAGATCACTAGTGCAACACTTTTGATACATCTCTTACGTACATACATACATATATAATATGCTTCATTGATAGCTGTTGTGGCCACCTTTCTTTTTTTTTTCTCTGGAGACCTGACGAAACCATCAAACAAACATATATTGTCATAACTATCATTTCTTTTTATGGATCATTAGTATTATAAAAATTTTTTGTGAACATTTTTTACATTAAATTACGTATCTTTTTTTAGGTTGAAATTGATTCTCATCCACTAGTGATTTCTTGCTTAAAAATTTCTTCGTGGAAAACTTCCCCGTTTTTCTAGAAATTCTTTGTCCCCATGACAACTTTACAAAATCCACTGTCTTATCAACCGTCTCGGTTACCTTCCCTAAAAAAAATTTCGTCGAATTCGTCGTCGAAAATACCGACCACCGCCACCACCATCACCACCACCACCGAGACTACGCGGACAACACAAAATGATAATAAAAAACTGCTTTTTGGTGCACCAAGGAATTATGATGACGAACATACTCCGATAAGAAAAATTCAGAAGGATTCTACTCTAAACACACCTCCCAAATTATCCAAGTTACCCGTCACGCCTCTAACAACCGTTACCGCGTCGAAGATTGTCAATAATGCGAAAATCGATTTGACCAGGCCGCCTCTAGTTCGTTCGCATAGCGCAAAGGAATCAATCTCAAGTGATGATACCTTATCAAGTAATGGCAAAAAATCGTCAAGAGCTTCACCAAATATTAAATCGACGGTGAAAATGGATTTTTCTCACGTAAAGTCGCGCATCGGTTCATTGGAGAACATTAGTCACAAACCCAAAGAAAGTGAGAAAAAAATTTTTTCTGAAAAGCCCGACTTCGCCAAGGTCTCCTCTCGTGTAGGTTCATTGGATAATATCAACCATACTCCAAAATCTAAAGAAACTAAAATTTTCTCGGAGAAACCTAATTTCTCCAAAGTGCATTCACGTGTCGGTTCTTTAGATAATGTCAGTCACACTCCTAAAGGTAAATATAAGAAATTGCTTTCGTTAAACATGATTTTTCTTCCAGTTCCTCATGCAATATATTGACTCGCTCGGTAATTTTGCCTTCTGCAAGGCGGTAAAGTTAAAATTTACTCTAATAAACCGAATTTTTCTCACGTGACTTCACGCGTCGGTTCCCTCGATAACATTGATCACGTTCCCGGAGGTGGAGAGAAATATGTGCCTATTAACCCTATAAAAATTCCAAAGGCTGAAGTGAAATCAAAAATAGGCTCATTCGACAATATTAAACATACTCCTCGCGGTGGAGAGGTCAAGATATTCAATCAAAAACCAAATTTTCGTGATAACGCCACACCAAAAATAAAAATTCGAACACGTTCGAATAGTATCGCCAGTAGCGGAAGTAGTGCCGTGGATGAAGATGTTGACAGGAAAAGTCTTTTCTGTAGTCCAGTTTCTCCTTTTACATTAGACGATGAGATTGACGGCCCACCATCCGAGCAAACCATTCCAGCAATATTTCCATCGGCCGCCTCACTAATTTCAACAAAAAGGGAGCATTATATAATTGAAGAAGAGGTCGATGAGGTTGACGGAAATGAACCCGAGCATATGGTCAATGGTGAAGAAGAATCTTGCAAAGAAGGACATGAAAAAGAACAAGAGGAGTGTGAGGACGAATATGAGGATGCAATTCCTGTTGTCTTATCCAATGATAACATTTCTGGCGATGATATTAGTACGACCGGTGTAAATTCACAATTAAATGACGTTGAATTGTCATTCGAGGTTAACGTATCACGTAAGTCGGTGCTTCTGGCCAATCACGTTGAAAGGAATACGATAATTGAACTCCAACCTACAGCGTTGCCAAAACGATTGTCAGCCATTGAGATTCCACCTCAGACCGACGAGGTGCTTCACGAATCACAACTAACACTTACCCAGAAACAGGCTTATGACGAGTCTTGGATATAAGTGTATTAAATTACAGTGATTGGATATCATTTGGCATTTCATTGAGCACTGGACGACGTCTGAAGGGTACTTCGTTCATTCCATAAACATCTCTTCAAAAAAAAAAAAGTAAAGGCATTCTTAATGTATATAATTTCCATATTACATATATATAAACACATTTCAATTATGACAACCTATCCATTCATTTGATGCTTTCTTGATCGCATGGTTTAGCAACCGGCGAGTAAAAAAAAGCTGCGCTAGTAAGGAGACTATCGAGATTAATTTTACAAGTCCTATCATTAAATAATTCATATTGAACTTATGTATGCGCCAAAGTCATTTGATGGACATTTTTTAATTAATTTTCGAATCTTTTATATTTTAGGTAAAATCGCGTATATTTATGAACTACTGGTTAATTTGACCTATAATATTTCAATATTCTTATTTTTCCCGTGAGTTTACCGAAATTCTCTTTACAATAATTTGTATAAATGGGAATGAAATTTCCATGAGGGTTTTTAACTTCACCTTTTCCTTTTTACATTCCCGCTACCATCCTATGAATAATTTTCACGAACTGTTTTGTCAAAGTAATGCGATCACAATTGTGTCCGATGTGATTCAATAAATAATCCAATGCCCTTTCTGGAACATGCATATTCTACTGGAATGATTGTAATCTTCAATAATATAAACGTTTAACCCTGGTCCCGATGTAACTTTATTTTTTTTAAGGTTTGCGAATTTGCATGATTTGTTATGGACTTTGTTATGATTGAATTGTAATTGGTTAACGGGTTTTTAGAGATGTATGTGCAATATATCTTGCAGGTAAGATATGATAGATTATTTTAAACACATTAGAAAGTGAAATAGAAATAGAAATAATAAAAATACATAATATAAAGTATAATTATAATATAGTAAAATGTAAAAATAATAAATAAAAGACTATATAAACAGAATAAAAAACATGAATTTATATTTATTATAAAAAATAATAATATGAATCAATAGTTAATATTAAATATATATATATAATATTCAAATAACAATCAAGATATTATTTTAAAAAGAATCGAAAAAGACCATTTGAACTTGTCCACAATAACAAGTAGCAAAGTTTGGCGAGATCGAATATAAAATAATCAAGTACAGAGAACCCCCCCTAAATACACCCTCTCTAAATGCACACCTTCTCTAAATGCACACCTTCTCTAAATGCACTCTTTTTTATAGTCCCAAGTTGGGTCAATAATGTTAAATGCACCCTC